CTGTATAACCAAAATATAACCTTCCTAACTTTTGTATTCAAAGCCCCTCATGGCAGACTGGTACAAAAAGGTGAAGTCATATGATACCGGGGTAAGCTGGCAAGATAGATACAGAACTGGGTTAGTCATAGGAGACAGAGGGTAGCAGTGGAAGGATGCTTTTCGGAATGGAGGGCTGGTGACTAGTAATGTTCTAAAGGGATCAGTGGTGGGACCTCTGCTGTTCATGATCTACATAAATAATTTGAAGGAAAACGTAGCTGGTCTAATTAGTCAGTTGTAGATGATACAAAGATTGATGCAGTTGCGGATAGTGAGGAAGACTGTTAGAGGATACAGCAGGATACAGATCAGTTGAAGGCATGGGCAAAAAAATGGCAGATGGAGTTTAATCTGAACAAATGGGAGGTGATGCGTTTCGGAAGGTCTAGTACAGGTGGAAATTATACAGTGAATAGCAGAACCCTTAGGAATACTGATATGCAGGTCCACAGATCACTGAAGGTGGCAGCGCAGGTAGATAAGATAGTAAAAAAAGTCTTACAGCATGCTGCCCTTCATTAGACGGGGCATTAAGTACAAGGATAGACAAGTTATGCTGCAGCTTTATAGAACTTTAGTTAGGCCACACATGTAATATTGCGTACACTTCTGGTCACCACACTACCAGAAGGATGTGGATGCTTTGGAGAGGTACAGAAAACATTTACCAAGATGTTGCCTGGTATGGTGGATTTTGGCTATGAAGAAGGTTGGATGGAGTGGGTTTGTTTTCACTGGAATGTAGGAGGTTGAGGAGCGACCTGATAGAAATGTATAAGATTGTGAATGGCATGGAAAGAGTGGAAAGTATGAGGTTTTCTCCCCAGGGTGGAGGGGTCAATTACTAGGGGACACAGGTTCAAGGTGTGAGAGGGGAAGTTTAAAACAGATGTGTGAAGCAAGTTTTTCCATACAAAGGGTGCTGAGTACCTGGAACGTGTTAACAGGGGCAGCGGTGGAAGCAGACAATAGCAGCATTTAAGAAGCACCTGGACGAATACATGAATAGGAAGGGAATAGAGGGATACGGATCCTTACGTGAAGACAGTTTTAGAATGGAAGGGCAAAATGTGGCAACGCAGGCTTGGAGGGACGAAGGGCCTGTTCCTGTGCTGTATTGTTCTTTTTTCTTGTTCAAGCTGCACTCGCTATTTTCAATTGAAAGGAACCTAGCCTGAATCTATGGAATTTTTAGAAATCAAAACCAATGCATCAACTAACTCAAAAGACAATTCTTTTATGATTCTAGGATGAAAGATTGGGAGACTTTCCTAGTCTCAGCAATTTGCTCAGAAACACTTCCCTGGTGACTGTAATTTTAAGATCCTCCCCTTTTTTCATTTTCTGATGTACAGCTATTGCTGGGAAGTTACTTGTAATCTCTAAAGTGAAGACCGATGCAAAACACCGTTTCAATACTTCTGTCATCTCCTTATTTTCCATTACTAACTCCTCAGACTCACCTTCGATAGGACTTATACTCATTTAGTTAAAGCTTTTCTTTTTAAAAGGTCTATAGAAACTCTCTGGAATTCAGAAGAAGTCTTTTGAACTTGAAATATTAACTCAGTTTCTCTTTCCACAGATGCAGCCAGATCCAGAGTTTCTCCATCCCATTCTGTACTTATTACACATGTCAGTCTGTGTGCAGGTTCATGTAGGATTCTCATACCTTCAATCTGCTTGACACTAAACTAAATTTTAAAGTAATTAAATTTACTTCCTCCAAAACATGCAAATGAAATGTTAGTCAATTACTGTGCCTGATCAACACGAGTTGTGGGAGCCAGCAATGCTAAATGCACATTGATACCACGTAAAAGGATACTGAACTTATGCCCAATTACTTTGAAGAAAACTGGAATTTTAATTGATTTACGAAATAAAAGAAACTAAGTACTATACTGATTCTGCACCACTGATATGACAGCGTGTGTTTTGTATGAAATCAGAACAATCACAGGAAGTTTTCATTCATAGCAGCCAGTCATTATAGTGTGACAATAAGAATTGGATCTGACATCAAACCATAAATTTAATTTAAAAAATGCTAGATAAATAAATTTAGTCACTCAAAAAGTTCCATGAACCAGCTTCACAGTATGCTACTGCTGCACATCAGAGTTGCATTTTACACATCAAGTCACCTGATCTAATTTCACAAGAATAAAGCCAAGAAATGCATTTGGAATAAAGTACCTTTACAACCCTAATTTGGAAAAGTAAAAACTTACTTAAATATTCATCACCAAAATAAAGACCATTTTCTTTTTCAGAATCTATGAAAGATACTGGAACATTAACCTGCCTTTGACTTAATTGCAATGATCTGATTCCTCTTCCCAACTTCACCTGCTGCCCATCCCTATTATGGAACTCCATACCATTATTTCCTAGGCAGTAACTGATTTCATCTGGATATTCTCCCCAACGTTATTCCAATTTCTGCGTCCTAATCCAGACTGCCACTTTTTTTTTTAAACCTTTTGCCCTAATTTTCACAAACAGGAAACATTGCCAGAATAATTTCTTTCAAATTTTTTGCTGTCCCACCAAACCTCTATCCTCTTTTCTAAAAATCATATAATAGGAAGCTAACATTCAATGCATCTTCATTTAAAAAAGTTACTCCAAATACTCTAATCTGCTCTCTCAGTCCTTCAATTATTTGAATACATGTCTAATTCTCATTTGAAAGTAACTACTGCATCTCTACGATTCTGCAATTTATATTCCACATCATAAAAAGCTCTCCAATAAAGTTTCTATTATTTCTGTTTGAGTTATTTTGCCAAATATCTTACATTTGTGTTCTTTGGCTATCACTGGAAACAAATTGTCCCCATCAGAATCTTCCAAAACTTTGAGTATCTCTGCTAAGATATCTCTTATTCTCTTGCTAATTTACACTGCCTAGGGTGGTGAACACAGATTAAATCATGCCTTCTAATTAGACAATTAACTGATGAGAAAAAATTGATAGGGTTATGGGAAAAAAGGCAGACAGAGTTGGACTAGATGCTCTTGCAAGCAAGCTTGCATTGACATATCAGGTTGAATGGCTTCCTTCTGGGTCAATCATTTGACGACATCCTTACTCATTCTGAAAAAGTTGCATTTTCTGGCCTAACTACCAATGATTGATATCCAGTCCCTTTAACTGTCCAGCCCACACAGAGCCCCTTTCTTACCACTGACTTCTTCCTCAAGTGATACCTCAACTGGTTTTCATCTACCATTATTCTCTTATGCTTAGCCAAAACTTGGCATTTTCTCAACAAATTATCTTCTACTTCCATACTGATTTAAAAAATAATGTGACAAACTATCGATGCCAGACAGTCCCAATTATGGGATAACAAGGTGTAGAGCTGGATGAACACAGCAGGCCAAGCAGCATCAGAGGAGCAGGAAAGCTGACTGCAGTTCCTACAGTCCCAATTATGGGTTTCTTTTTGGATATGTGGAACACTGCTTGTTCCAGTCCTGTTCTGACTCTTATTACTTTGACAATTATGTTGTTACCGCTTCATGGCCTCACTCCTGAGCTGTGCAAATTCATTAACTGCATGTCCTCATTTTCAGCAATTGCTCAGTTCTACAATTTCTATCAAGTTCTATCACAACTACAACCCTTGGACCTATGTTAATTCAACACTTTCCATTAATCCAGTGGCACAAATGTGATGGGCTAAGTGACCTCCTTCTGAGCTATTCTATGAATTCCCATTATTAGTTGTATTCTTGTTTCTTTGAGAAAACACTAATTCTTGTTCCGTTTCTTGTATGCTTGGGTAAGGTCCTGGTCCTTTGCTGTAATCGTTAAGTTGCTCAAATAACCTAAATTCACTCGTGTTTCCATTTTCCAGTCCCACTGACGACCATGACAAGCTCTCACTTGGCCTCGTGTCCATTTCTGCTCACAGACATGTTTGCTAGATTATTTTCCACCAACCACAATGTAAACAGAGTGTAGGATTTCCTTCTATAATACATTTGTAACATCCTTGTTTAATGAACTCCTGTCTGGAAACTTCAATTTTGAAATGTATGCTGTGGCTCAGTGGCGAGAACTCTTATTTCTGAATCAGAAGGCTATGGTTTCAAATCCCACTTCAGAAAATGGAACTCCAAACTATAGGCTGACCCGTCAGTGCGTGACTGAGGGAATGTTGCTTGGTGCAGCTGTCTTTTAGGTAATACATGAAACCAAGGCCTGACTCTTCTCTTAAGTGGATACTGCAGACCCATAACACTACTCAAAAGAGGAACTGGAGATTTATCCTGGATATACTAGCTAATACATTTCCTCCAATTACAAGAGGAATACCTGGTCATTATTACATTACTGCTTGTGGGAGCTTATTATGTGTAAAATAGTTGTTATAATGCTATTAATATGGTAATGACTGCACTTCAAAAGGTACTTTGTTGTTGTAAAGTGCTTTGGGATCTTGCCAGGTTGTAACAAGGTAAACATAAATGTTTATGAATGCAAGTCTTTTTCTTTCTGAGCCAAGCTTACATGATGCAACATCTGTAAAAATCTTTATTTACCGGTATTGCTATCTAAACACTCATCCTACAGCAGACAGTGGTTTAGATGAGGTTTGCAAACTCTAGCATATCATATTTTAAATATTAAAATTTCCATTCTCCTTTACACTAGGAAGGCCAAGTGCAGATTGATTAACTGCTCTGCTCCACATTGCCGACATGTTTTAATGTATGACCTGACTTGTTCAGAAAGCTGTGGTTTCAAATCCCACTTCAGAAAATGGAGCCACACAACCCTATCCATTGAACTTTGTGCTTTTCACCTTAACACTATTCCAATCAATCACGGAGCAACATAATAAATTCTGGCTTCGGACACGGGGCAGTCTCTACTAATTTCCGAACGCTTTGTTTTATTAATTTTCCACTGAACTCCCTTCTATTTGAGCTGTTTTACTCACCTTTTCTCTGTCTTACGCCTTTTCACAGCCTGACTGAGATGACCTTTATAAAAAGAAAAAAGTATCAAAAAGTTTAATTGCTTAAAATAACCAAATTCTGATGATGGGATGCTATCCAAAATGTTAACCTATTTTTACTTCAGATGCTAACAGACCTGCTGTATATTTCCAGTACGGTCAGTTTTTTATTTCAAGTTGACAGCACACGCAACTTCTTTTCTTTGTATAATCAAGGACAAGGTGAGGAGAACAGAGATGGTATATTAAGACATTGACTACCAGAACCACAGAATCTGACTCTTCACATCTTTTCAAAGTAGATCTGGATAATTCTCTTACTATACGTCGACATTGTAACATATAAAAATACCATCACAGATAATTACAGCTGATTTTAGAACCTGTTTGATACTTTGTTTGGGTCCATGCCTTGATAGTTGCACACCAGATGTTATACTTAAGAAAAATGCTAGCTTTCTGACTTTGGGGAGAGCACAGCATTTGCAAGTACCTGTTAACCCTTGAAATAAATTATTTCTAGGACATACCTATTTATATACATTCTAAAAATTCTCACAGGATGTGTGCATTGCCCATCTCCAGTTGCACTTGAGAAGGTGGCGAATTGCCTTGTGAACCAGCGCAGTCTCCTGGCATAGGTAGACACATTTGGTACACTTGCCTTTATTGGTCAGTGCATTGAGTACAGGAGTTGGGATGTCATGTTGCGGCTGTACAGTACATTGGGCCACTTTTGGAATACTGCATTCAGTTCTGGTCTCCCTCCTATAGGATGTTGTTAAACTTGAAGGGGTGCACAAAAGATTTACAGGGATGTTGCTGGGGTTAGAGAGTTTGAGGTATAGGGAGAGGCTGAACAGACTGGGGCTATTTTCCCGGACCGTCAGAGGCTGAGGGGTGACTTTATACAGGCTTATAAAATCATGAGGGACATAGAGGGTGAATAGCCAAGATCTTTTTCCCAGGGTAGGAGAGTCCAAAACTAGAGGGCATAGGTTTAAGGTGAGTAGGAAAGATTTAAAGTGATCTAAGGGGAAACTTTTTCACACAAAGGGTGAAGCATGTATGGAATGAATTGCTAGAGGAAGTTGGTGGAGCTGGTACAAATACAACATTTAAAAGGCATCTGGATGGGTATATGGATAGAAAGGGTTGAGAGAGATATGGCCCAAATGCTGACAAATGCAACTAGATTAATTTAGGATATCTGGTTGGCATGGATGAGTTAGACTGAAAGGTCTGTTTCTGTGCTGCAGATTTCTATGACTTTCATTGTTGTTGGGGAAGAAATTCCAGAAGTTTGGCTCAGTGAAACTGAGGAATGGTACGATATATTTCCAAGCCAGGATGATGAGTGACTTGGAGGGAAATTTGCAAGTGGTGATGTTCCCATGTATCTGCTGCCCTTGTCCTCATAGATGGTAGTGGCTGTGGGTTTGGAATATGCTAAGGAGCCTTTGAATTTCTGCAGTGCACCATGTAGATGGTACTCACTCATGCTACTGATATCAGTACTGAAGGGAGTGAATGTTCATGTTGTGCCCAATCAAGCGGCTGTATTGCACTGGATGGTGTCAAGTTTGACCATTGTTGAAGCTATAGTTAAAGTTACAGGGGGAGGTGATGGCCTAGTGGTATTATCGCTGGACTGTTAATCCAGAGACCCACATAATGTTCTGGGGACCCAGGTTCAAATCCTGCCATGGCAGATGGTGGAATTTGAACTCAATAAATGTCTGGAATTAAGAGTCTAATGATGACTGTGAATCCATTATCGATTGTTGGAAAAACCCATCTAGTTCACTAATGTCCTTTAGGTAAGGGAACTGCCATCCTTACCTGGTCTGGCCTACATGTGACTGCAGACCCACAGCAATGTGGTTGACTTGAACTGCTCTCTGGGCAATTAAGGACGGACAATAAATGCTGCCTAGCCAGCGATGCCCTCATCCCGCAAATGAATTTTTAAAAAAAGCTGCAATTACTCAGGTAAGTGGGGAGTATTCCATCACACTCCCGATTTGTATCTTGTAAACGGTGGACAGGATGTGTGTTGGGAGGCCAGTTACTTGGAGAACATACTTAACTTCTGAACTGCTACTGTAGCCGCAGCATCTACACGGCTAGTCTAGATCAGTTTCTGGTCAACAGAAACTGTTAATGCAGGATTCAGTGATGGAAATGCCACTGAATGTCACGGGACCACGGTTAGATTCTCATTTGTTGGAGACGGTCATTGACTGGTACTTGGGTGGTACAAATGTTACTTGCCACTTGGCAGCCCAAACTTGGATACTGTCCAAGTCTTGTTGCATTGAGGAGTTACAAAATGGTGCTGAACATTGTGGAATTAGTGAATTTCCCTGCTTCTGATCTTTCATCGGAGGGAAGGTCATTGATAAAGCAGCTAGAGATGGTTGGGCCTAGGGCACTAGCTGGAGGAACACTTGCAGATGTGTTCTGGAGCTAGGACAACTGACCTCCAGCAACCTCGACCATCTTTCTTTGTGCTAGATATGACTCCAACAGCAGAGGGATTTCCCTGCCCCCAACCCCGAATTTCATAGACTCTAGTTTTGCCGGGATTCTTTGATGTCGTGCTGTGTCAAAAGCAGTCTTGTTGTCAAGGGCAGGCACTTCCACCTCACCTCTAGAATTGAGCTCTTTTGTCCATGTGTGAACCAAGCTCTAATAAGGTCAGGAGCTTAGCGATACTGGTGGAACAGAAGTTGAGTGTTAGTATGCAGGTTATGGCTGAGGAAGTGCTGTTTTATAGTATGTTGATAACACCTTCCAGCATTTTACTGATGAAAAATAGACAGATGTGGCAGTAATTAGTTGGATAGGATTTGTCCTGCTTTGTGTATAGGACATGACTGGGAAATTTTCCATAGGGTAGACACCAGTGTGGTAGCTGTACTGGAACAGCTTGGCTAGGAGAGTGACAACTTCTGGAGTACATGTCCAGTACTGTTGCTGGAATGATGTCAGGGCTCAGAGCCTTCACAGTATTCAATTCTTCTTCATTTCAGTTGAGGTGAATCAAATTGGCTGAAGACTAGCAGCTGTTCTACTGGGGATCTCTGGAAGAGGCAGAGATGGATTATCTATTTGGTACCTTTGGCTGAATAATGTTGCATATGTGCCAGCCTAATCATTTACACTGATATGCTGGGCTTCCCCATAATTGAGGATGGGGCTGTTTGTGGAACCTCCTCTCCACTGAGTTGTTAAATGCCTGCCATTATTCACAACTGGACATGGCAGGATTTCGATTCTGATGCATTGATTGTGGAAAGCTTAGTACTATTTATCACTTGCTGATTATGCTGTTTGGCACGTAAGTAGCCTGTTTTGTAACTGCCAAGTTGACACCTCATTTTAGGAGTGCTTGTTTCTGCTTCTGGCTTGGTCTTCTGCACTCTTCATTGATCCAGGGTTAATCTCCTTGATGGCAATGATAAAACAGGGGCTATGCCATGTCATGGAGGATGCAGATTACAAGTACAATTCTGCTGATGGTTCTGACAGATCAATGGATGCCCAATCTTGAGGTACTATATCTATTCGCAGTCAGTGGGATGCTTGTGGGAGGATCAGTGATGACTTGGTGGACAAAAATGGCACTGTAGGGATTCTATGCTATGCTAAGTCCCCCACCCAGCGTACATTCTGCATTGCTGCGGGTATGGATTCACACATAGACTGGGGGGGATAGGGACACCAGTTTTCTCTCCCTAAAGGGCAAATGGGCTTTTATGACTATGGTCAATGGTTACACAGTCACCATTAGATTAACTTTTCAAATATTGAAACGTGTGGAGAATTACTGATTCATTAGTTGAGTCGGGGTTGTAGTGAAGAGAAGGAAGAAGAGGTACATGGTAAAGAACTGGAAGTTTCTTCATCCACGTTTGACCTCATGCCATGAGACTTCATTGAATCCAGAGTAAACATTGATGACTCCCCGGCAACTCCTTCTTTACTACATACCAGTGTGCTGCTCTGTCTACTGGTGGGTCAGGACATATCCAGGGATGGTGATGGTGTTATCTGGGACATTGCACAAAATGTATGATTCCACAAATATGACTATACTAGTTCCCAGGAGACTCTGCAGAGTCGACTAAGTTAAGCTTATCATTGTCGTTCTGGTGCCTTAGTTGATGCCAGGTGGTCATTTAGCTTCATTTCTTTTTAGGGGTTGATACATCTGAATGGCTTGCCAGGCCATTTCAGAGGCAGTTAAAGAGTCAAATCGCTTTGCTGTGGGTCTGGGGTCACATGTAGGCTAGACCAGCTTTCCTTCCCTAAAGGATATTTGTGAACTAGATGCGATCTAATGACAATCAACACTGCATTTTGACTTGTAATTTGATGTTTATATTTAAATCAAATTTCACCAGCCATGAGGGGGGATTTGAACCCAAGTCCCCAGAACATTCCCTAGGTCTCTGGATTAAGAGTCAAGCAGAACCTTAAAGAGACACAGCTGTTATACAAAATAATATATTCTACATGACATGATATAATTATTTTTGGTTCCAGTCTATCTTCTTGAATAAATATCCACTATGCTTTGTAGATTTACTGGTTTGATTTAACAAAACAAGCCTGGATGGGACCTTTGTGTTTTGTCCTTGTAGGGGATACTGAAAGCAACTACTGATGTGAGTTAACTTCCTGTATTAACATCGACTGAAATAGTTATTCTGTGGAAATTCAGGAATTACTGTGAATTAAGTATTTTAGTGGTGGGATTAACAATGCTTTCAAACCAGCAACTCCTACAATCCCCAAAATATCTACAGCATTCAAAGTTTTTAGAAAATAACCACAAGGGACAGAAAATCAAAAAAGAGTGACAAGGGAAATATAAATTCTTTTTAATATAGTAATTTTTGGCATAGTCTTGATAACTAAACTTCCTCTGCAAAATACAGATGTTTTGAATATGTCGCTGAATAATCTGATGCCTGTGCACATTTACAATAAACCTTGCTGCCTTTAGCATTTGATGACAGCAACATCATTGATCAATGATTGTGGTATGATTACTTAGTGAAATGATCTATTACTGATTAATCCAGCATCTATTAATTATAAAAAAGGGGTGTCAAAAACTGATGAGGTACAAGAGAAACAACTCTCCAAATGTTGATGCATCCTGCAAAATGCTGCACAGATTGAGACTGTTGCAAGTAGCCTTCATTATATCAATCCATACTGTCCCACTGCAAGCAACTAAATACTTCAAGTCCTCTTGTGTAGCAATGACTCAAATTGTAAAACAAATCACAGGCCATTATCAATGAACATAGTTTATTTCTATGCTGGTCGGTTTAGGGTTATTTGTGCAAAATGAAGTAAAGGAAGTTCTATTTAAAACACACAACCACTACAAAGCTTTCCAGATGATAAGTCATTGAGTTTGATTTACAGTTTAGGAACTGCAGCAACTCCTGTAAGTCTCAAAGCAGGTACACTACCTTAAGTGATCAAATCCAGTAAAGGGTTAAATATCTTAGGTATTATTGCCAGCATCGAATGTATAAATAATGGGTAAAGAGAAACTTTCTGAATCTTGCTTAAGTGGGTCATTAAAAGTTCGATAATCATTGCAGCTGAGTATAATCCTTTCATAACATTTACATCAAGTTAAACAAAACTTACAATCTCATCACCCTCCTTAGGAGAAAAGAAGCGGCCTCCTTCTCCACGCTTTCGCTGCATAGCATGGCGGTGACGTGACTCATGGAGATATTTCTGGAAAAAAAGAAGAAAGTACATGGTTGAAACATTAAATAAACTGTTACCATAATACGATATTTCAACTCAAAAAGGGCAGCTTACTTTAACAGCAGAGAGAATTCAGACTACCTGCTGTGCAGGCTGTCTTCACATACCATGGCAGAGAAAAACACGACAGCATCTACCTCTTAAAAGATAATCATGTTACTCATACAAAGGCCCCTTTCTGCAGATTGTAAAATGCATTCCTAGTAGTAACCTTAATTGCTTCCCCTACTTTCAGAGCACGCTGTTTAATCGATTACACTTACATGTATTATGTGCATATATGTTTCCACAACTTAATAAAAACAAACACTTTACTTGATAGCTGGATCGACAGACTCCTCCCAAATAACAGAGGTTCATGTTGTTTGGGAGGAGGGTCATGTGGAACATACATTGTAACATATACAAGTTGGAGCAAATGGCTTATTTGAGATTTTATCTCAATGTAAAATGAATATTCTTTTTCTGTCTACTATGATACAGTGCTGAGTTAACTTTGGCTTTTCCTGCTTGCGTGTTTAGAACATACAAGATTAAAACAGTAACATACAAGATTAAAACAGTATCTTTGTATGATTAAGGGCAGAGGAGATTTTCATTGCTCACAAACATAACTGACATTCAGCCAATAAGTGAAATGGAAATATCAAAAGCTGGTAATATTTTTCTAGCAAATATAGACTATATCCAGTGGCACTTAGATACAAATTAGCAATGTAGGCATACAATGCAAGAAAATTAACCCTAGACCAAATGTGCCATCTTCCATTCCCACATGCCAAGATCTGGTTATTGAAATGTTACTAGAGGAACACACCAATTCAAAAATGGGAACGTAATTTTTCCACCAGAGATGATCTTTTAGTTAAAAGATAAAAAAGTTCTATTCATCTTAGGAAGGAGACCTGCTTTGTGTAATTTCACTTACCCTCCTTTCTTTTGGAATCCGACCTTCTGCCTCTAGTTTAGCTCTTGCCTGTCGCCTTTTCAAGATTCGGTGATATTGTTTGGCGTTTACATACAATGGTTCTTCTTCTAGTAGTTCTGCACCAGGCAAGGGGATCCGTTGCATAGCTGGAACTGTACTAGTGCCTGGTACCATCTGTATGAGAAATCATAAAAAGAACCAATGGAAAAATTAAGAAGGTAACTTGTTCTCCATAACACATTATAAGAGATAATACTGCTTCAACGGTTTAGTAAGTTAGAGTATATTTAAAAACTAGAAAACCTCAAATTTGCTGTTCAACATAGTTTTGGCAACAAAGAAATTAACAGTAATACAGTATCATTTCCTAGCAAATCTAAAGCTATAGCAAGAGTCTTTTCAGTACAGTATTATGAAATGGCAAACTACAGACTTATACTAACGAAGCAAAGTATTAACCAGCCATGTCACTGGGAAGACACTCCAGAATGGCTTGGTTTGTTGGGATTATGGAATATTAAATATTGATCATCCTTATCATGTTTTGATCACTATTATGCCTTAAACTGTTTAGTCAAGTGTGAGTGGTAGCTTGTGACCAGATTCACTGGTAGTCCTGAGAAACAACGGAGAGAAGTTAAGAAAATAAATGTTCAGAGAAGACTAATGTGGTGCTGGTGCTTACAATATATAACTGACCTGCTTTACTTTACAAGGAAATAAAGTCAACAAATGCTTTAAAGACCACATCATTTTATTTTATATTTGATTGTGGACTGAATTACAACAAAAGGACAATGAAAGGAATTGCTGTACATTAAAAAGCAAGTTATTGGAACTCACAGTGGATTTTGTTTGCACTATTGCTTTGAAACAGTGGGGGAAGTTGCAAGAGGAGACAGCCACACAATGGGTGTGTATACAAAGTGAGAATGGCCAGCAACAGGTTGTTGATTGGTTTGTGGAATTGCGACTGGTTGTGAATGCACGACAACCTTCTGGGTAGCTAACAGTTTGTGGGCGTTAAGTGATGCAGTGAGAAGTGTTTGGACCTCTGGAAGAGGAGGTGGAATGTCACGCTCTCCAGTAAAATACTGGATGCTAAGGAATGCTAGTTGTTTTCTCCCACCAATTGCTGTAAGCTGTTGCTTTTACCCAATATTTCAAAGATCTTAATCTGTGCCCTAATCACTCTGTGCATCCTGTGATGAAGTGAAAGGATCCAAAGGAAAAGTTCAGAGAACTAAATGACTTGGGAAATAAAATGAATCCTTCTATTGAATTCTGAGGACTTATACCATTGAACTCTTTACCCAGTAACATTTTCCTCTCCATCCAAAACATCACCGATTTTTTGTGCGTGCATGCGCATGTGCATGTACATAGTGGTGTTTCAGAAGATTAACAGTATTATATGTTGACAGTTCATAGTTATTTATCTGTGGTTAGAATCTATTTATTCATAACAAAGACTCATATTTATTAAGTACAGAAACCTGATCTGTATTTTCTGATAAACTGGGTCTGACAGGTAAACTGAGGACTTTGCATTCTTTGACAAATTTTCAACTTTTGTGACGACTCTGGAAATAGTGGGACTCGGGTTCCAGCATGCTTCCCCAGCGTAAGAACGTAACAAAGTTGAGATTCCCTCATGCATTCATCTCAAGTATTACTTCTACTTTGCTTACTACACTGCCTAGTCAAGTAGACCAATGGTTGGATCTGACAATTCAATACACCATTATCAAAGAAGTTAAAGAGATCACCTAAACTTATGTTTAAACTGTGATCCATTCACAAAGTTGCTCCAAACTGGACTTACCATCACCATGCCGCCTGCATTGACCATGCTTCCAGCAACAGGCAGTGTCACCGTTACAGTGCCCTGGCTGCTATTTGTGGTGCTTGTGCTGGCTCCCGTCTGGACAATTTGAGCCCCAGCAAGACTGGCAGCAGGAATCGTGATCATGCCTGTAACAGGGACTGCAACTTTAGCACGTAACACAAAGAGGAGAAAGATAAGACAAGACACAGAGAAAAAAAAGAGATAAACAAAAAGAGGGTAAAGTGAAAATAGAGATAAGATGATTGACAGGAGGATGCAAGAGATAACAGAGGGAAAAAGAAAAATGAAAGGTACAAGATTAATCCCTTCACTTTTCAAGAAAACACTAATCTTTCAAATATTGCATAAAAATCATAACAAATTTTATGCAAACAAGAACAACCTTTTAGACTTTTTATAAGTAGAAGTAGTCTAAAAGTAGTGCAAAGCAGAGTTCATTGCAATTTAATAGTTCAGATTTTCAAATATTTAGTTAATATACTTTCATATGTGAATGGTGCAATTCCTCAGAACCTGGAATACCACTGGAGAGGGTGCAGAAGAAATGTGGATGTTGCTTGGGCTTGAGAGTTTCAGTTTTAAAGAAAGATTGGCACTGACTGAGGTTGTTTCCTTTCAGCAGAGGAGATTGAGGGGGCGCATGATTGAGATGTATAGATAAGGCATAGATAAGGTTGACAGGAAGGAACTTTTCCCTTCGATGGAAGGAATAAATGACCAGGAAGCATAGTCTGTGAAGGTAATGGGCAAAAGGTTTAGAGATGTGAGGATAAACTTTCATCCAGAGGGTGGAGAGAATCTAGCATTCACTGCCTGTAAGGATGGTAGAGGAGGAAACCCTCATCACATTTAAAAATGTATTTAAATGTGCACTTGTGATGCTAAGGCATACAAGGCTATAGACCAATTGCTGGAAAATCAGATTAGACAGGTGGCTGTTTTTCAGTGGTGCAGATATGATGGGCTGAACCACCTTTTCTATGCCATAGATCTCTATGTCTGGGTCCCATGTGTGTTTTGTAACTGTGTAGTTTGGAGATATTTACGACATTGAGAGAGTTCATCACACTTTTGGGGCTTAATTTTATGTTCATATATGGAGCAAACCCCTGAACTAAGTCACACTGCAAGATTGAAGTAATGGACTGAAACTAGATTGTTTCCCAGAGAAAAGCAAATTTTAAAAATACGAATTACAAGGATGTATCCTTGAACACATGCTGACTATCGGCTAAAAATGATGCTGTAGAAACTTGTGAAAAGACCTCTTGCACTGCAGAATAACCAAAAGAATTACTAGGGGAAGGGGCAGAAAATTTATTTTTTTGCTTTAAAGGAAGACATAGTAAACTCTGCTGATAAAATATAATGTATTCATTAAGTGAAAATTAATAGTCCCATTTGTTATGGAGTGATTTTTGCTTTCTAAATCCAAATGTTTATATCAATATATATTATTAGGAAGCGAGTACTGGCTTGATTCATGGCTGCTTTAGTGCAGCACAGTATTCAGATATAAAGTGGCATCTCTGAATAATGCATAACTCACATTTAAATGTTCTGCAGTAAATGTCATGCTTAACACTTCATCTTTTGCTTAAACATTTTAAATTTCAACTAAAATGTTGAATTTCCTTTAATGGAAGCTGGAGAACACCAACATGTTGTGGCTCTTCGTAGTTAACACTGAACAAATTGCTTCTACCCTGTGGTGCTGACTATGAATGTAGCAACATGGTCCAAGGAGGCTATGACCACAAAGCTGACGTTCCCGTACTCCCACTCCAATTTTTTAATCTTTCATCATTTTTCCTAAAAAGCCTTATTGTCTTGGAGCTATCTGCCAAGATCCACAGTATAACATTGATTTGTCCTTCAATTCTTCTCTTCCCCCACTTGAGATGGGGAGGAGGGAGAAGAGGAGAGAATGATGATGTTAACTTGCGGATGACACAAAGATTGGCTTGGTAGTTAATAATAAGGAAGGTCTTGGATTACAGGAAGATACAAATGAATGCCTGCTCACAGGTGCCTGCATGCAGCAGGACAAGTTGATGGGTTGTTTAAGGCAGCATACGGGACACTTGCCTTTATCAGTCAAGGCAGAGATTATAAGAGCAGGGGCATTATATTGGAGCTGTACAAAAACTTTGATTCGGCCAAGGCTGGAGAATGTGTACAGTTCTGGTCATCATACGATAGGAAGGATGGGATTGCACTGGAGGGGGTGGAGAAGAGATTCGCCAGGATATTACCCGAGTTGGAGTGTTTTAGCGATTAAGGCAGGCCAGCTAGGCTTGGGATATTTTCTTTGGAGCAGAGGAAGCTGAGGTGGGGGAAACCTGACAAAGGTGTATAACATTATGAATGGCATTGACAGAGTGCACAGAAAGCAACTGCTCCCCTTAATCAAAGGGTCCATAACGAGTGGGCATAGATTTAAGTTGAAAGGCAGGAGGCTAAGAGGGGATGTGAGGTAAAAACTTTACATTTAGAGGGTGGTGGGTACGCTGAAGAAGGCAGTAGAGGTGGAAACCTTAACTTCTGAAAATACATGGATGAGCGCTTGATGTCATAAAATGCAAGTCTGGAAAACAGGATTAGTGCAGCAAGGTAGGCGGTGACTCAACGAGGCTGAAGGACACCTCTGTGCTGTATGACTCTAATAGAGGGGGAAATACTCAGCCTTGAATCAATGTTTTGTGCTAGCAGTGCTGCAGAGGCCTTGTGTTCTGCCACTCTCACTTGCAAGAATGGCCTCATTCTTGTAACCTATTTTCAAATACATGATTTAGAAATATACAGAACTTGCAAACTTTATGGGGCATTTATAACAAGATGCCTCTATGCAAAGAAAAACAGAGGCTCAATAGCACCTATTTAAATAAAAATGAAGCAGATTTTTTTGTTTTTGTGCCTAGGGCTGTTGGTTGCTCCAGAAAATCTGAAATTTTATATTCATTTAGGCTTTGTTTGAACATATATCTTGAACAACTTTGTTGCATTTCCTGTAGTCAGGCAATACTACAGCATAAGACACAGCAAGAGGGAAATCTGTCACAGTTAGGTGCAGCAGCAGCAGCATGAGAGAGCAGCTCTTCAATGAACATCCAGCTTTGTAGCAAATTGGTTTGCGGACAGTATTGGTGATGAAGGATAGCTCTTGCATGAGTATGGTTGTAATTTTTATGGAAATTAGAGTGGATCTTTAGTAGCCTGCATTAGCAAACCTACTTCATCTTATTTGAATGTGGTGAGACTAAGCATCTGCTGTAGATATAGTTTACTGAACACAGCAATTTGAAAAATAAGTGTGTCACCTGACTATCACGTTCGATCAATATGAAGTGAAAACTGTGAAAGATTATGAAGATCCAGCCAAGCAACAACTTTATTAATTCCAAAAGTTGACTAACTACAAACTCAAATTGCTTTCCTAATGTGTAGTTTTAAATATTTATTTTATTTCTTGCTGCTTATAAACACACTAAATTGTTACTTTCAAAAATGATCCCTAAAGGAGCAGGGAAATATCAAATTTAACCTTTTAGCCTTGGTGTCTTTTACGTTTTTTTACTACATCCTTTTAAATGGTTCTACAATCAAAAACATACAACCAGCTGATGTTTTTCCTGAAACCATTCAAAATTTGATTTGTATTTTTAAAATCGAAAATCTACTATTTCTACTTGCTTTGTAATGCTTTACCATCACTGTGATCATTATATACTTTTCAGCATCAGAGATGGCATCAAGTCTTAAGCCAAGACTTGATTTTTACTCTGGTCTCTGTTTAGTGTTAGACTTGGGAGAAGTGGCAACCTTAATTGTCTGGTTGAATAACAGACATTATCCAATTCATTCATTAGAATTATGTTTTTTTCTCTCCCACAAAACAGGGTGATAGAACATAGAAAGTGGGAGTAGGAGTAGGCTATTCAGTCTATTGAGCCTGATTGAGCATTTGATATGCTCATGACTATCTTTCATTTCAAACCCCTACTTCCATACAAGGGGCTCTCCTCATGGCCTTGACAACTTAATTTGTTTATTTCTTACATAAATTCAGTGACTTGACTTCCACAGCCTTATGTGGAAGAGAATTCCATGAGTTCCCCACCCCGAATGAAGAAATGTCTCCTCATCTCAGTCCCAAAAGGTTTACATCATTTTCTGAGAACTTGGCAACTTGCTCTAGACACCCCAAATTTGGGAAACATCATCCTCACATCCAATCTGTTGAGTCCACTGTCAACAAGATCCACTTCAAATATTCTTCTCTCTCTCTCTTCTAGTCATACATTGCATTTATTTTTCAAAACAGACTAAACAACTAATCCATGGAGCAGGCAATTGTCAGCCTCATCAGCTTTGAGCTGATATGCGGTGTAAGTGCACTCTAATGATGCTCACCCTTTCATAAGGTTTGAGAAAATAAAATATAACTACATTAGTGATACATTTGTAGGAAAGAAACGTGGCAAAGTGACCCACCAGAATTTCAACAGTGACAGGAGGAAAGTGAGGGAGAGAAGTCCAGTTAATTAAGTCACTGCTATTTGCTGTTAACATTCTGAGCAATATTAAAACATGAAGTCAAACAAAAACAGAAATTGTTGGAGAAGCTCATTAGTTCTGGCAGCATTTATGAAGAGAAAAGAGAGTTAATGATTCTTCTTCAGAATGTTAATTTTGCTTTCCCTCCTTGGATGCTGTTAGGCCTGCTGTGTTTCTCCAGAAATTTCTGTTTTTGTTTCAGATTTCCAGCATCCGCAGTTCTTTTTTTCCAAAATGAATTCAAATAAACTTTGCTGGTTACCTTGCTGGAGTATGGTGCCGTCTGCATTAACCGGTTGGTACACAATTGTCTGCCCCTCTGCAGTCTGTGCCACCTGCTGTCCTTGTACTATTTGCTGTTGACCATATTCAGTTATGGAAACAATTAAATATTTTATGCCACTGTTCCAAGTTTAACATAGACATTTATACATTGGTTATAATTTGCATAAAATGCAGCTAAGCATATACCATATGGAGTGAGCCTTAAGAGGATGATTATGGACAGTATAGAAAATCCATTCTAGTAAATAGTTTTAATTTTAAGTTGTGACTTTATAAACTCTAGCTGCAGTGGTGTTAATGACCAATTAAACTTTTCAAACAGGTAAGTAAAATACATGTACGGGAGATGTTGTCACTGTGTTGGATAGTCACTGACAGTAGATCAAAGTTGGCAGCTAAGTTAAAAGAATTTCTTATGGCTCAGTCCTAATGAGAACATTAGGTTAATATTGATATTTATAACCAACACTTTTGTTCCCAGCTATTTAGGCTTTGCATTCCACTTTCCCAAAAGAATTCCTCCTTCTAACAACAAGGTCAGTTCAAGGTTCTGATATGGTCAGCTTCAAGATTGGTGAGGATAACTATCGAGAAGTGTAATTAATATTTAGAGTTGCGGGCCATCTTTGTGTGAGCTATTCACCGATTTTGACCATAAGTTGTGGCTATTTGACCATCTAAGGCAGATAGATTTTTTTAATGTCTGGATCTGGACATCACTGCCCTGTGGTCACATCCCATGAACGAATAAACATAACCACATTGTTGTGGGTCTAAATCCACATGTCCTAGCATCTCTTGGGTCTGGCCTACATTAGTGATCCACATGGATTTTTGAAACAAAATCAGCAGTGGTTACATTATGGAGTCATACAGTATGGTCTAACTAGTCCACACCAAACATGTTCCCAGACTAAACTTGTCCCACCTGCCTGCATTTGGCCCATATCCCTCCAAACCTTTCCTATTCATCCTATCCAAGTTTCTTTTAAATGCGGTAACTGTACCACTTCCTCTGGCAGTTCATTCTATTGTGAAGTTGGGTGAGGTATTTGTGGACTGGGAAGCAGGACACTAGAATTTGGTGATTGTAAAATGCTTGGGGCGAAGCAGCGTGTAGTCCCTTTAAAAGATGAAGATGTGCTTTCTCTTGCTTAGAAATTTAAACAAAATGTCTGTGGGCAGCAGCTTGTGGGTTTGCAGGTGCACAGAGAGCCCTTGAATTGAGACACTTGTATCAAAAAGCCGTACAGTTAGAAGGCTAAGCAGCAGTCTTGTTTTGTTATCAAGGCAAAAAGTTTTGATTTTGTCCAATTTGAACAGGCACTTAGAGATCAAAAACTAATTAAATTTAAATCTGATGGTTTGACAATATAGGACCAATCTTGTTGTAAGAAACTGAAATGTCATCAAGGGTATAAAAGGAAAAGGGCAGTTGGAAAAATCAGGAAAATTAACTGCCATCTGCCAGGGTTAACAGCTCTTAAGAGATAATTGCTAACTTTCATAGTCTAAGTTTTAGAAAGTACTGTGTAAATCAAAAAAGTACCTACGGCACAACTAGTTAATATTCCTGACAGAAGAATTCTGAGAACACATTCCCGACAGAACATTCATTGGAGAAGGCACAAAGCATTCCGGAAGACACGTAATCTGGCTGTAATTTTGAAAGACTAAAGTCTGTGTTTTTTTCATTTTATATAAGTGAGATTTGTATTTATTGCAACAGCACACCATTAGAATCTTGTTTTATTCAGGAAGTTAGTAGCTCGAAAGGGTTTATTTGGTTTCATAATAGTTTAGCCAATTTGTTCACTATTAGAGTTAGATAAATAAATTGTTGTTTGTTGATTGCAAAGAGCTTGTCAGAGACTTGGAGATAGTAGGAACTGCAGATGCTGGAGAATCGGAGACAACAAGGTGCAGGGCTGGATGAACACAGCAGGCCAAGCAGCATCATAGGAGCAGAGAGGCTGACGTTTCGGGCCTAGACCCTTCATCAGAAAAGGGGGAGGGGAAGGGGGTTTTGAAATAAATAGGGAGAGAGTGGGAGGCGGATAGAAGAGGGATAGAGGAGAGGATAGGTGGAGAGGAAACAAACAGGTCGAAGAGGCGGGGATGGAACCAGTAAAGGTGAGTGCAGGTAGGGAGTTCAGCTCGTCCCTGCCTCCCTAACCTGTTCTTCCTTCCACCTATCCCCTCCTCCCACCTCAAGCCGCACCTCCATCTCCTACCGACCAACCTCATCCCGCCCCCTTGACCTGTCCGTCCTCCCTGGACTGACCTATCCCCTTCCTAACTCCCTACCTACACTCACCTTTACTGGCCCCAACCCCGCCTCTTCGACCTGTTTGTTTCCTCTCCACGTATCCTCTCCTCTATCCCTCTTCTATCCGCCTCCCACTCTCTCCCTATTTATTTCAAAACCCCCTTCCCCTCCCCCTTTTCTGATGAAGGGTCTAGGCCCGAAACGTCAGCCTCTCTGCTCCTATGATGCTGCTTGGCCTGCTGTGTTCATCCAGCCCTGGACCTTGTTGTCAGAGACTTGATTTGTTTAACCACTAGAAGTTGCTGAGAAGCAGGTTACACCACTTTTCACAATCCTTTTTAAACAGATTATAAGGCGAGGTGCTCCTCTCCAGATGTTTCAGTTTTAATTATCGGAGGGGGTCGACCGCTGCTTTATAATAACAGATTGGGGGACTGGGTCCGTGATCTGGCCAGCTCGGATCTGGGATTTGGCCAGGTCGGGCCAGATCTGGAGGGATCTGGACAGATTTAGGGTACGAAAGGTTCCAGCTGATTTACACAGACTTGAGGGCTAGTGTCCTCGATATTTTTAAAACAAAACTCTTAAGTGAGAAGTGGAAAAGCTGTTTATTTGTGGTTGCTTGTTGTTAGTTAAATCAAAAGTGGGGAACTGGCTCTTAACATTGCTAAAGAGGCAGGTAAAGGATTAGGCAGGGGTGTTTAGTTCTGAAAGATTAATGGAATTACAACAAAAGGATGAGACGATAAAGGATTTATATCATAAAGCCTACTCTGAAAAGGAATCAGAATATATTCCAGAATGCTATTATGTTTAGGATAAAATCTTAAGGTAGAAATGGAGACTTTGGCTGGTTACTGCAGAGGAGAAATGTGTGGAAGCTCACCAGAATGCGTTCCTGGTAGCATACAGACAGTACGTATTGCAGGTAGCGCACAGATTACTTATAGGTGGTCATCTAGGAGTGAGGAAGACTCAGGCTAAGATACAAAAGCATTTCTATTGGCCTGGATTACATAAAGATGTGGGTGAATTTTCTTGTACCTATCATAAGTGTCAGATGGTAGGAAAGCCATAGGCAGTAATAAAACCAGCACCTTTGATGCCAATTCCCACAGTTGAAGATTCTTTCATGTGGGTTATGATTGAATGTGTCGGTCCCCTCCCTAAAATCAAAAGTGGGAATCAGTATTTGCTAACCATAATAGACATGTCTACCAGGTTTCTGGAGGCAATTCCATTACAGAATGTCAAGACAAAAAAGGCGGTGAGGAGTTGCTTGCTTTCTTTACCTGTTGTGGACTACCCGGGGAGTTTCAGCCAGACCAAGGGTCCAATTTTACTGACAAATTATTTAAGGTGGTCATGGATAGTTCAGGCAAATACTTTAAGTCAAGTGCGTACCATCCTGAATCCCAGGGCGCATTAGAAAGGTGGCATCAGACCCTAAAGACAATGTTGAGGGGGCTTATTGCCAGAATTATCCAAATGATTGGGATAAAGGTATCCCATTTATATTATTTGCTATTAGAGATGCTCCAAATGAATCAACTCAGTTTACTCTAATTGGATTGATATTCGGACATGAAGTAAGAGGGCCTTTAAAGTTAATTAAGGAAAAGTTGATAGGGCTGAAGCCAGATCTCACAACTGGATTATATATCGGAGGTGAGAGAAACATTAAACAGAGTACAGATAGTTCTGCTGTAACCCGTGTTTTGTTAACACAAATGAGCTGTAATGCGCTTGATGAATAGTGGACTCCGTTTGGATAAACTTTCTCCTGTGCAGGTATAACAATTTTCTATAGTGATTTCCCTATAACATGATTTTCTATGGCAACTTTCTATAGCGTGAGGTCACGCAAAAACACAACTATCGCCTGAAAGGAGATCTACCGGGAGGTGAATTAGCTAGACAACATTTGAAGATGGCACAGCACATAATGAAGCAAGGAGCAGATAAGAAATCTAAAATTTTTATGTTTGCCTGTGGGGATAAAGTATTGGTGCTGTTACCAGTGGTAGGAGATCCATTCAAAGCAAGGTTTAGAGGTCCCTATCAGATTGAGAAGAAGTTAAGTCAGGAGAATTATCTGGTAAAGATGCCAGATAGGGAAAAAAAAATTAACTGGGTATGTCATGTGAACATGCTGATACATTATGAAGACAGGGAAAGGGAACCGGGGAAACAGGTATTAGTTACTGCCAGTCGGAGTGAAAAATCAAATCCAGATGATTTGGATTTTGATGTGCCTCAGTGTAAATTGAATAATGAGGAAGTTCTTAAGAATGGGATAGGGTAGTGAGCTATCTGTCCCAGGAACAGAGAACTGAATTGAAAGATGTGTTACAGTGCTATGAAGACATATGTAAAAGTGGAATGGGGAGACTAACACTGTAGTACATGAAGTTGACATATGGAATGCTATTCCGATAAAACAACACTCCTACAGGCTTAATCCTCTCAAGGCAGTGCAGCCTCAGAAGGAAGCAGAAACAATGCATCAAGAAGACATCAGAGGCGAGTCAAAGCAAGTGGAGCTCGCCGATCGTGTTGGTTCCCAAACCTGATGATACTCAATTATTCTGCGTAGATTATCGTAAGGTCAACGCTGTGACTAAATCTGATTCATACCCAATTCCAAGGCTGGAGGACTGTGTAGAAAAAGTTGGACAAGCCACTTACATCAAGGTTGGATTTACTTCGCAGTTACCGGCAAATACCTTTGTCGGAGAGAGTGAAAGAAGTTTCTGCTTTTGTAACTTCAAATCGGCTATATCAATTTAAAGTCATCCCCTTGGAATGAAAAACGCACCAGCCACTTTTCAAAGACTTATGAACAGAACTGTGGCAGGACTGACTAATTGTGCTGTCTATATGGATGACTTAGGTGATCTTTAGCCATTCAAGGAAAGATCACTTGGCGTATTTAGCAGGGCTCTCGGAGAGATGACGGAAGGCAAAATTGGTCATAAACTTGGCAAAAACCAGAATTCGTGAAGGCAGAAGTGAAATTCTTGGGGCACAACATTGGACACGGACGATGACACAGAGAAACATGAAGACAAAAGCCATCAAGGAATTTCCAAGACCATCCTCGAAGGAAGTGCTACGATTTTTATGTTTGAACAGATTCTACAGGAAATTTTGTATCAAAACTTTAGTATGTGGTGGCATCACTGATGGATTTGTTAAAAATGAACACAAAATTTCGGTGGGTAGAACAATGCCAGGAGGCATTTGAGAATTTAAAATGCAGAGTTAACCATCTCACCAGTTTTAGCCACACCACATTTCTTGAAACCCTTTAAAGTTGCCATCGACGCAAGCGATGTAGAGGTTAGAGCTGTGTTGTTTAAGGACGATGATTGTGGAATTGAAAGGCCAGTTATTTTTCCAAAAAAAAAACTCAATATCCACCAGAAAAAGTATTCAACCATTGATAGAATTATGGAGTTTGGTAATAGTCTTACCACACTTTAATATTTACATTGCAAACAATGCAGAGACAGTATGTATACTGATTATAATTCTTTGACATTTCCAGAAAGATTTAAGGACAAGAACACCAGATTATTTCGTTGGTGACTTATGTTGCAATCACTTAATTTACAGATTGTACATGTTGCAGGTCGTAAAAAATTATCATGGATGCTTTATTATGAGTTGCAAAGAAAAATGTTTAAGATAGAAACAGTAGTGTTCAATGTTATATGCATACAAAATTAGTATGAAATGTGTAACTCTAGATTAATGAGCTATGGATCTAGTAATATAATGGAGTTCAGGGTTTTTTTTAATATAAAAAAAAGCCAACTACTCATAATGACAGTTAATTTATTTTCTTAATGGGGGCAGTGGTGGGAAGATGGGTACAGTATTTGCGGGGTGGGAAGCAGGACATTAGATTTTGGTGTCTGTAAAATGGTACAGGGAAAGCAGTGCATGGTCCTTTAAAAAGATGATATGCTTTTTCTATGCTTAGAGATTTAAACAAAACATCTTTGGGCAGCAGCTTGTGGGTTTGCAGGTACATAGAAAGCCCTCAAATTGAAACATTTGTGTCAAAAAGCCATACATTTAGAAGGCTATGCAGCAGTTTTGTTTTGTTATCAAGAGTTATCAAGACCAAAAGTTTTGCTTTTAGCCAAATCAATTTGAATCAGGCACTTAGGAGGCCAAAAAAATTAAACTTAAATCTGATGGTTTTTTAAAATCTGACCAATCCAGTTATAAGAAATTGAGATGTCATCAAGTGTATAAAAAGGAGGGCAGTTGGAAAAATCAGGAGAATTAACTGCCACCTGCCAGAGTTAACAGCTCTCAAGAGAAAACTGCTAGTTTTCACAGTCTAAGTTTTAAGAAAAAGCACCATCTAAATCAAAAAAGGTATTTATGGCACAACTTGTTAATATTCCTGACAGAAGAAGTCAACGGAGAAGGCGTTCCTGACAGAACATTCAATGGAGAAGGCACAGAGCTTTCCGGAAGACACATAATCTGGCTGTAATTTCGAGAGACTCAAGTCTGTTTTTTTAATTTGATGTAAGTGGGATTTGTATTTATTGGAACAGCATACCATTAGAATCTTGTTTTATTCGGGAATAATTAGTAGTTACAAGGGGTTTATTTGGTTTGTTAATAGTTTAGCCAATTTGTTCATTGTTAGAGTTAGTTAGATAAATTGTTATTTGTTGATTGTAGAGTGTCAGGGACTTGTTTTATTTAACCACTAAAAGTTGGGCAGAAGCAGGTTACACCAGTTTTCACACTTTTTTAGAACAGATTATGAGGCGAGATGCTCCTTTCTGGGTGCAGTTTCAGTTATCAGATATAATAATTCCACACCCTCACCACTCAAAAATAAAACTGCCCCTCATGTCCCTTTTTATACTCACTAGGTTTGAACTGTGACGAGACAAAAAAGAGACAAAAAAAAACTTTGCTATTCACCGTATCTACACCCCTCATAATTTTATAAAACCCTATAATGTCACTGCTCAACCTCCTACACTGCAGTGAAAAGAGTCCAAAAGGCTAGCTTGTATTTCAAAATTTTATTGAATTCAAATTTTGCTATTTGCTCGAATTTGAACCATGTCCCCCAGAACACTAGTCAGGGTTCTGGATTACCAGATCAATGACATGACCATTATGCCACCAACTCCCCTTGGGACAATTTTTTATTAAAACTGTGACAACCAACTGCTAGTGGGGCAGCAGTGCATCTACTAATTAAAACATAAACTTGAAACATTTTGAAAATTGAAAATTGCAAAGATCAATTTAGCTTTACTATTGATAAGGCAGTGTAAACTTTTAAGAGTCTCAAGCCTCAACTGATTGAACAAGAGCCTCTGGGGCTACATTCAAAGAAGCAATTTATAAGACCAAAAGAAATAGGAACAGCAGCAGACTACTTAGCCCCTTGATCCTGCTGTGCCACTCAACAGAATCATAGCTGATCCCAACATTCCTCATATCCACATTTCTGCCCTTTCCCCGGAACACTTGATTCCCTTACTGATCAAAAATCTATCTACCAACCTCAGTCTTAAACGTGCACAAGGATGCTGCCCTTCAGCCTTCTGTGGCAATAGAGTTCTGAAGAGTCTCAACCCTCAGAAAAGAAATTCCGCATCTTAGTCTTAAATTGGCACACCTTAATTCTGAGACTATGCTCACTAGTCCGAGACTCTCCATTGAGGGGAATATCTCTCAGCATTTACCTTGGGCAAGCCCCTTATGAATCCTACGTGTTTTAATGAGATCACCTCTCATTATTCTAAATTCCAACAAATGTAAAGTCCCAACTTGTTCAACCTTTGCTCATAGGATAACCCCTTCATACCAAGGATCAGTATGACAACTCTCAGAAAATGTTTCAACTATAAACGACTGGCTCTGACATGCAATTATTATACTTATGCAAGCAAACATCACAGTCATTTTGAATGTACCAAATTCTCACAAACAACATTATGAGCAGTACCATTTGAAGGAGGAATGTTGAGCCTAATACTAGGGAATCTCAAAGATCTTCTGCAAATACTATCTCAAAATTCAAAACTGCACGAAATGTTATCCTAACTTATGTGTATATGTCTTAAGTGTAGAATTTCAGAACCATCATTCTGGTGAAAGGTCACAGTCTAAAACATGAACTCTGTTTCTCTCTCCTTAAGGGCAGCAAGACCTGCTAACTTTTTCCAGCATTTTCTGTTTTTCTTGTCTCATGGTCAGGTCTAGCCTTATAAACTAAGTCCCTGGCGCTGTGAGGCAGCCGTGCTAACCATAATTTGGGCATAATTTGGAAAGTCAATATTACCAATGAAGAAGTGCTGCACAGGGCTGGTCAGAGGTACCTAAAGGACACTGGGACTGGCAGGACATAGTATTTTGCCTCCCTACTAGCACGACAGTTAAATCAACACCACCATGCAGAAGAATGAGATGGAGCTGCCCAAAGGAGACCTGGAGTGACATGGTGGCAGAGCCTTGCTGCCCAAAGTTCCTCTGGTCCCATGCAGGTCAAAGTAGAAGTAACTAAGTGCAGAATCCCAGGCTAATGCTCTGGGACTTGGGTTCAAATCCCACCACGGTAGCTAATACATGCCCTTTGTAGGGAAGGAAATCTGCCATTCTTAACTGGTCTGCATTACTTTTGCATTAATGTGGTTGACTTGTTGACTGCCCTCTGAGGTGTCACAAGCTACTTGGCTCAAGGGCAATTAGGGATTAGTAACAAATGTTGTCCTTACCAGTGTCACCCACATCCCATGAAAGATTAAAACAAAATGGATCACATACACAGGCAAAAAAAGGTTAGTTCTAGGTCAAAAAGTCATCTAATTTAATTCATGGGTCAATGGGTCAATTGGCCTATAGGTCTGAAAGATGCAAGTTCAAGACCAACATCAACTTATGCACGTAATCTATGTTGACACCCCTATGCACTGTTGAGGAACAACTGTAGCACTGGATGTGAAGTTAAAAGGCTATGCTTTATAGAGTCAGAACCATTTAGCATAGAAACAGACCCTTTGGTCAAACCAGTCCATGCCGAACATAATTCCAAACTAAACTAATCCCACCTGCCTACTCCTGGCCCATATCCCTCCAAGCCTTTCCTGTTCATGTACTTATCCAAATGCATTTTAAATGGTGTAACTGCACCCACATCCACCACTTCCGCATACCTGTGTTTGTCCAGCTGTCACAGCTGCTTGGGGCTGTTGAATAATGATTTGTTGTGCCTGTCCTTGTTGGTTCTGGACCTGAACAGCCTGTCCACTTTGAAGCTGGAGCTGACCTGGTTGAACCAGCTGAATCTGAAAAGAACACACAGTCATATTTGTAACTGCAAGTTATATGAAAGGTGCAATAACTGCTCGTACATTAGAACACAGTGAAAGCACTGTAAATTATTCAAGCTTATTATATAAGTTATATAAATGATTTTATTGCAAAGAGAAAGCTATGGGGTACACTCCCCATGGAAATATTGAGTACAATCTACCACTGGACACCAGAATGAATTTAGTCTTTTTTTGTTTTCAGGTGACTTTAAAAAAGTTTAAATTTATAATTGAACAAGAAAAGGCAATTCCAGACATCAAGGAAGTCACTACTGCAGATAGCCTGATCCACTCATTCCCTTAGCTCAAAGCTGAATCCATTGATCATTACACTGTTTCAAACAGAAGTTCTCAACATAAGGCATGGGCACTCAAAGTATGCTTATATTTTGAAGCTCCAGGCTTCAACATGCAAACTGCACATGTGCATTGCCCAGCAGGTGGTATGTGAAAATAATCATGGCAAACTCAGACTAATTTTAAACTTTTGCTAAATAAGAAAATGGAATACTAAGCCATTTCTATTAAAATTTAACTCCTGGGCTTCGCTAGCTGAGCATAGGAACAGGAGTGGGCCATTCAGCCCTTCAAGCCTGTCCTACTTTTCAATGAGAACATGACTGATCTGTGGCCCAACGCTCTAACTGTGGCCTTTGGCCCATATCCTTTAATATCTTTACTTAATAAAAATTCATCGATCAGATATAAAATAAACAACTGATCCAATATCCACTGCTGTTTGTAGAAGAGAGCTCCAAACGTCTACCACCCTGTGTAGAGGTGCTTTCTAACATCGCTCCTGAACACTCTGCCGCTCATTCTCAGAATATGGCCCCTAGTTCTAGAATCCTTTATCTACCCTGTTTTTTCCACTTAATATCTTGATGACTTTGGTAAGATCACCCTATAACTTATAAATTTCAGCCTGCTTTCTCCACAATTTAGATAACCCCAGAAGTCCGGGTATAATTTTTGGAAATCTATGTTGTACTTCCTCCAAGGCCAATATATCCTCCTTAAGGTGTGGTACCTAGATCTGTTCACAGGACTTCAATTGGGGTCTAACCAGGGTTTTATGTAACTGCAGTACAACTTCTGTATCCTGTACTCCAGTCCTCCAAATATAAAAGGCCAGTATTTCATTAGCTTTCTTGATTATTTTCGACATCTAGTCATTACATTTTACATATCTATGCACCTGAACTCCCAAGTGTCTTTGGAAATCCATGATCTTTAACTTCATATTGTCTATCCTTTTTCAGTCCAAAATGGATAACCTCACATTTGCCAAAATTGAACTCTATCTGCCACAGTTTTACCAATTTACTTAGTTTATCAATATCCTTTCATACTTTTATCCTTATATCTGCACAGTCTATAATGTCGCCTAACTTTGTGTCATCGGTAAAATTGAATATATGACTTTCTAAGCCATTAATAATGCGAATAACTGAGGGCCTAACACAGATCCTTGAGGGACAGCACTAATCACATCCTGCCAATTTGAGTACTTACCCATTATCCCTATATTCTGTCACCTGCCATTTAACCAATTTCTCAATGATGCCGGTAGAGTGCCCTCAATTTCAGAGGCTTCTATGTTAACAGTCTCTTACGTGAGGCTTTATCTGGCAGATCATATAAACAATGCCTATCGACAGTCCCCTGTCCACTACCTTAGTCGCCTCTTCAAAATATTCAATGAGGTTTGTTAGGCATGAGCTAATTGACACTAATCTGTGTTGACTCTTCCTGATTGTCTGAAAATTTTTGAAGTTACACCACCCTTGATTATGAACTTAAACAATTTCCCCATCACAGTTATTATGCTAACTGGTCTGCAATTCCCTGGTTTTCTTCTTTTGCCCTTCTTAAAATTTTCCAATCCAGAGGGATGACTCCTTTATCTAGGGAAACTCTGAAAGCTTACAGTTAGGGCATTCCCAATGTGTTCCCCTAGTTCCTTTAACACCCTTGGATGGAAATCACCACATTTTGTGGATATGTCACCCTTTAATTCCACTAGGTTCCTCATCACTGATGTTTTACTTATATTAATTTTATTCAGACCAGTAATCACACTTAGTTGGAACATTTACCATACTCATATACTATTTAGTGACAATAGATCAATGCAATTGAAATGTTATCCCTAAATTACAGGAATATATAAAAAAAATGATTTTGTCCCAATAATGTACATACTGACCTGTTGTATACCTTGCCCTCCAGAGACAGGAACCTGCATAATTGTCTGTCCTTGTCCTGTAGGTACTGCCTGAACCATGATTGGTTGACCAGTGGATGTGATTAATTGACCACCACTAACTTGGACCATTAATGGCTGACTCTAGGAGAGGAAAAACATAAAACCTAAATACAGAGAATTAGTGTTGTCTTACAATTACAAGATTTCAGACAATTAAGAAGCTGAAGTTATATTTTCTCCAGAAGATTCTGATTCCTGATGAATGAAAGGATCAAGCGAGGTTGTAGACTTGCTCACCGAGCTGGTGCGTTCGACAGCAGGATGACGAAACATCTGCAAGATAATATTGTCAGTGTGCCTCCGGTGAAACACTGGTGTTCTGTCCTGCTTGTTATTTATATGCCTCGGTTTGCTAGGGTGGTTAGCATCACTTCTGGTTCTGTCTTTCCAGTGGTTTGTATATTGGGTACAGTTCAATATGTTGTTGATGGAGTTCCGATTGGAATACCAGGCCTCCAAGAATTCCCTGGCATGTTTTTGCTTGGCTTGTGTTTTATGGATCTGTTGTCCCAGTCAAATTCGTGTCCTTCTTTGTCCGTGTGCTTGGTGATCAGTAAGAACTGGTAGTGTCTCTTGGTGGCTAGTTGGTGTTCGTGTATCCTTATTGTCAGTTTTCTTCCAGTTTCACCTATGTAATGTTCTCACAGTCCTTGCATGGTAATTTGTATATTATATTAGTTTTATTGATTGTGGGTATGGGATCCTTTATGTTCGTAGGTAGCTGTCGCAGGGTGATTGTTGGTTTTTGGGCTACCTGGATACCTAACCTAGGGGTAGGAGTAGTCTTGTGGTCATCTCTGATATGCGGTAGGGTGACTAGGTTTATCTGGCTATGTTGCGTCTTCTTGTTGTGGTCTGTCGCAGAATAATGGTGGATTGTGCTTTTTGGATAGCCATTCCTTTAAAAAATCCATATAAGTGCTCCTGTTAGCTTTGCGCAATTCCGGGTTGCTACAGAGTGTTGTGGCTTATTTGAATAATGTCCTGATGCAGCTCCGTTTACAGGTGTTGGGGTGGTTGCTGCAGTAATTAAATTTCTGTATATGCTAATATAGAGTTCCCTGTTGTTCTTACGTTCTACCATTATGTCTAGGAAGGGTAATCAGTTATTGTTGTCTTCTTTTGTGAGATTTTATTCCGATGAGGATGTTGTTTATGTGTCGGTGGGTTTCTTCTAGTCTTGTGCATTTGATAGTCACGACCGTATTATCTACACAGCGGACCCAAAGTTTAGTTGTATAGTGGGGAGCGCTGTCTATTCTAACCATTGCATTACCGCTTCTGCAAATCAGTCCTGATATTGGGGAGCTCATTGGTGTTCCATTGATTTGTTTGAATATAAGGTCGTTGAAGGTGAAGTCGGTTGTGAGGAATAGATCCAGCAGTTTCAGGGTGCTGTCCCTATTGATGCTGTTGGTGTTGTGGGGTGCCCACCTTCCTGATTTGTCCAGCAGTGTGGCAATTGTCTCTTCAACTAGGTCAATGTTTATGAATGTAAATAGCGCTGTTACGTCGAAGGATATCATCTCGTCCTCTTCTATTCTGGTATCTTTGATGATGTTGAGGAATTCTTGGGAGGAGTGGATGGAGTGGGTAGTGTTGTCAATTAGGTATTTCAGTTGCCATTGTAGTTCTTGTAGGTCTATGTGTTGGCATGCCTGATAGTGAGACAATAGATATGAGAGGGACCCCTGGGTTGTGTACCTTCGGGAGTCCAAAAGAACTAGGGTGTGTTGGATCCAACAGCTACCCAAGAACATAAAGGATCCTGTACCCACAACCAATAAAACTAACGTAATATACAAAATCCCATGCAAGAACGGAGAAACATTACATAGGCCAAACTGGAAGAAAACTGACAATAAAGGATGCACGAACACCAACTAGCCACCAAGAGACATGACCAATTCTCACTGATCTCAATACACACAGACAAAGCAGGACACGAATTCAACTGGGACAACACATCCATAAAGAACAAGCCAAGCAGAGACATGCCAAGGAATTCCTACCGGAACTCCATCAACAAACACATTGAACTGGACCCGATATACAAACCACTGAAAAACAGAACCAGAAGTCGTGATGCCAACCACCCCAGCAAACCGAGGCATATAAACAAGTGGCACAGAACACCAACACTTCACTGGAGGCACACTGATGATGTTGGCTAACATGGTGACGAAACGTCTGCAATCAAACATACCAGCTCAGCAAGCAAGTCTACAACTTCATCCACAACACGAGCTACAAATCTTCTCAAAAACTTTGAAAGGAACAAGTTCTGCTGTAACCACTCTGGAGTGCTCAATGTTCAATCACAAGGCAAGTTGGCTGGATCCTCAAGGAGGACATAAAGACAACTGATCCTGAAATCAAAATATATCAATGCTAAATGCTGTCCAAATTCTGAACTTTGTTTGGTATGATTTGCAACTGGTAGTATTGTCCATACAGTGCATTTCCAATCTTGCAGTTATACTTTCTCAAAATTTAGGGAAAAAACATCAAAAGGGCAATTCCTGCATACTACCTAAACACTGGCAATGCAGTACAATCTGAAAGTGTAAATTGCAGACCACGTGCACAAATGAAAGCATTTGACCCATTTGATTAATACCTGTTGTTGAATTTGTCCTTGAACCACTATCTGTTCAGTTGAATTGCTGTTATTTGCTGTGTACTGTTCCATTATTAACTTGGCTGTGTTGCAGAATTCTTGGCGGAATACAGTTCAAAACTGAACAAAACCTATATTAAAAAAAAAGTGAGACATGAAATTGTTATTCATTTTGCAAACCCACAGGTATTAATCAAGTTCTAGATATAGCACAAATACTCTGGAATTAAACACAATACTCTAAATAATATAAACATAGTAAGACAGACAAGATAGTGGGATACAGGTGTGATGAGGTCTAAAATTCATAATTACAAAATAGAAATATGTGCAAATTCACTCAACTAAACTGTCCGAAGGAAACTGACAATGGAGGTCATATTATGAAATGTCCTTTTCATCAAATCTCCTTTACGTTTTGGATATTTTGATAATGGATTGCTCAAACGGAATACAAAATTGCAATGTAATTAAGATGTAACATCCTGTGATAGCTACATCTCTTTGCTTTCTGCCTTCCAACCATTGAGTTTACATAGAAAAATGGTCATGATTGAAGGTCAGCCAGCAAGCAACAGCTCCTCAAAAGCAGTGTGCTTCACCTAAAAATCTTCATCTGCTTCCCACCACTTTGCCTGCTTACATACTCTACCACAGTGCTCAGCACAATTTAAAAATTTATCAGGTAACAAACAAACCATGTATGCTTGCAGCAGCATTACCGTCAGGCATCGACTGCTAAATAACAAATCATTCTTAAAAATATATTTTGAATGAGTGTGGGCATCACTGGCCAGGCCAGCATTTACTGCTCATCTCTAATTACCCTTGAGAAAGTGGCGACGAGCAGTCTTCTCAATCATTTCAGTCCATGTTCTAGTGGTTCACCTACTTCGCTGTTCTGATGCAAAGTTGAAGATTTTGACCCAGTGACAATATTGAAAGAACAATATAGCTTCACGTCAGGACGGTGAATGGCTTGGAAGGGAAATTGCAGGTGGTGGCAGTGCTTGCATAAGCCCACGCTTCTTCTTCTAGGTGATAGCGGTCATGCTGTTGAAGGACTCTCGGCAAGTTGATGCAGTGCATCTCGTGGGTGGTACACAATGTTGCAACCGTGTATCAGTAGTGGAGAAAATGAATGTTTAAGGTGGTGGATGGGTGCCAATCAAGAGGTCGCTTTGACCTAGATGGTGCTGAGCTTAAGTCTTGTTGCAGTCATATTCAGCAAGGCAAGTGGTGAGTATTGCATCATGCCCCTGACCTGTGCCTTGTAAGTGGTAGACAGTCTTCGTGGAGTCAGGAGATGAGTTACTTGCCACAGAACTTACAGTGTCAGACGTGCTCTGGTAGCTACGTACTTAACTGGGCTGTTCCGGTTCAGTTTATTTTCAATGGTAACGTCCAGAATATTGTTGGCTGTGCCACTGCATATCATGGGGAAGATGGTTAGATTCTCTCGTTGAAGATGGTCATTGCCTGGCACTTTTGTAGCACGCATGTTGGTCAACTATAAGCTCCAATCCGCATTCTGTCTAGGTCGTGCTGCACATGGACATGACTGCTTCAATATTAGGTGTGAATGGTACTAAATTTGGAATCAATGTTCATTCCTCTTGACCTTATGATGGAGAAAAACGTTATTCACGAACCAGCAGAACTGTGCCTCAGAATTTACTCTTAAGAACTCCTGCAGTCATGATAAACTGGGACTGAAATGATAAACCTACAACTATCCTTCCAACTTCAAATTTTGCTAGGGGTTTGTGGTGCCCCACTTGGTCAAATGCTGTCTTGAAGTCAATGGTAGTAATTCTCATCTCATCAGCACCACAGAAGTAGTATCAGACAATTACCAACTCCAACAAATCCAACAAGCTGTAAAATGATCTTCAATGAAGCACTGATTTCAACAACTTAGGAATCATCACTGATCAGAAGTCTAATTAGGACAAATATAGTGGCAATTTCAGCAGAGACTCAGGTGCTCTAACAAAACAGATAACAAGGTATAGAGCTGGATGAACACAGCAGGCCAAGCAGCATCAGAGGAGCAGGAAGGCTGACGTTTCGGGCCTAGATGGGTCTGGTGACCCTTCCTCAGAACTGAGCTTTGCCAGCAACTTTGTTTTTGTTCCTGATTTACAGCATCCACAGTTCTTTTGGTTTTTACTCAGATGCTCTAATGCGAGTGGCTAAACAGATTCTAAATTTCTATCGTCTTACAGTGACAAGATAAATTACTCTTACCTGTGTACAAACACAAAAATTACACAAGACATCAGAGGTCAGGATTGCCTCCTTCATCTGTACCCCTGCCAATGGACACAATGTCTACCCTATCGACCAACAGCAGTGTGCAGTTACAGAATGTAATGGTTATAGGACATACAGCAGCAGCTCACCACATCAACTGATAGCCCCTATCACTGCGAAGATGTGTAAACACTATCCTCGAGAAGGACAATTGCAAAAATATTGTCGAATACTAATCATGTTTGAGTTCCTGCTAAGTTATACATTTCTAACTTGCATTTCTGAAGCACAATGAAGCAGTTGAAGAAGACAGCTTTCACAGAGCAAAAAAAAACATAATAAGTGTAGCCGGCTTCATATCACATACAGACAAACAAACAGAATCATGGTCATATGGCCTGTAGCCACAAGTTTTTATTTAAAAAAAACAAACACCCAAAATCTCTGATGTTCTAAAAGTAATCTGGTTACAGACCCCAATCCATGCCTACATCATAATAAAACTGAATAAAAAGGTCCCTAGGTTACATGGATATTTTTGCTTTATTGTTCAAGTAATCAAGAAATGATATCATCCATGATCTTGATTAAAATAAGTTTCAATGCAATAATAATGTTAACCACCATTGCAAAAGATATCTTAATTTGCAATTTACAATGATCCACTATTTGGCTAACAATAATGGGAACAAGTAGTCATGTGCTCCAACATTCAGTCTGGATGATAAATACAACTCTCTTAAGAAGTTCTAGGATATAGCATTTAAATACCCCATTCATTAACTGATAATTTGTAATTTGACCACTAATTAAACTTTGATGTACTTTGGGTACCATGTTAATGGTACACATATGATAAATGTGCCTCATAAAATGCAAGTTCTATCTTCATCATAAGTATACAAATAACTTCAGGGCAGAGTCTGTAAATTTGCTAGGACTTATTCACAATCTTGGGGTATTCTTTCAACTCACCTGAAAAGGATATTCCAAATTAGTTTTGAAAACTGATCCATTCATCACAACAGTGGTTTAACAAAGCTGGTATAGTTATACGCACTTATTTTCAACTTGTTTTATTGCAATTTCAAACTTAGCCCAATCATTTCCGAGGTCCTGTTTGTCCCCCTGTACTTTTAAGGATGAAGAACTTTTTTCACAGCATTTCCTGTTTACATGCAACTGTGGCATATTGACATTCTATTCTTTGTCTTCAAAAGGCAAAGCTTTCACCTCTCATTCGGATGGGATTTTTGGACAACATATAGTTTCAGTTAGTGTTGTTGTGGGTGAGGAGGGGTTGAAGTCCAATTTCCATTTGGTTCAAGAATGAGTAACACTGAACTGTCACTGCATGAACAAGTGATGTTTGAACAGACTGAAGAAATTGAGAAATCAAAAGCTGCAACATTTTGAATCATACTTCTAGAATTTAAAATTTTAATATTATTCTATGTCACATAAGGAAGTTCACATAAACATATTTCCTTTATAAGGTGCTATACTGCATTCAACTTTGTAAATTCAAGTAAATAAAATGCTGTTAAGCACAGAACCATTCTTCATTCAGTTGCTTCCCACATAATTGCAATTTGCAAGACTATCAAGTGGTTGTAATCCAGCAGGTTACATTGGCAATGAAGTTTGGATGGTGTCATTAGCTAGAAAGCCTCAAATATTAATACTGAAAACAGATAGAGAAAAATGCAAGTAGGTCACAATCGCAGCTTAATTTAGATTTTCAACTTGCTTATATTTATTACATATCAAATGAAAGAGGTCTAGAAATATTAGTGTACAATCTCTTCATATTCCCTTGAAAGAAAATTATGTTCCCTTACAGTGCCACAATGTATACTGTTTGATAAGGGGTTGGAGAGGAAGTGGAGACAACAGACACAATGTTTACAAGCAATTTTTACTTGAGGATTAATTCCAAAGGCACAATTTTAATAATGTTAAGACCTTCAGACAGGATAAATTTACAAAAAAAAACTGAGTTATGGTTATTGTAGTACTTCCTAACACATGAGGGAACTCTGCATTGCTCTGAAGAATTGCATCACAAAAGATCTTAGTGAAGCACTTCAATTTTTGTCCAGCGTCCCAATAGAAAAAAAAAGTGCTCATTTGTATCAGTATTTAGAAATATATTGCTTCTGCTATTCAATAAGACACTTTCACTGGAAGAAATACATTGATGATTCAACCAGGGATCAAATGCACTGGATAAATGGTATTTGGAGGAACAGAATTTAGATTTGGACAACATGAAATCACCATTATTTTTAAAACACCAATGCTTTAGGCTCATGGATCTTTTATATGCATCTTAGGGTGAAATAACAAAAAAGGTTTATTGTGATGGAATGACACCCATAATGTTCAAACTTGCTCAGATGTGAAATCTATAGCTCAGATTACACATATTGCATTTCCAATGTAAACAATTCTAAGATTAAGGGCATTAATTACAGCAGGTATTAAGTCATTCAGTTGAGACAAGAGGGCTATTGACACAATAATGATGTGTTTCTAAGTTTCAAAACTTGCCTCCCTATTTAAAAAATGCTGAGTAAACAAGAGTGATCAGATTACAGGCTACAAAACTATTTATGCAGACAGAATCCAGGGTACTTAACATCCTAACGAAGGCAGACCATTTAAAATACCTGTTTCCCACAAAGAACGTTGTCCCCGAAATCAAAATATGACAATATTTAAAATATTCATTTCCCTTGAAGTAATATGCAGATACCATTTTCCAAGCTTGGTGTGTCACAGCTGAACTTAATTCCAAATAAAATTTCCAGTAGAGTTACAGGATAGGAGCCAGTAATGGGATTCTCATAGAACATAGAGCATAACAGCGCAG